GTAGCACGTAAACCCCCCGGATCCTAATTTCTATACCATAAAAGATACGAAAAAGTCTTAGAGCAAAATTGTTTACATTTATTGTCGCCATATTTGTAAAATATTTTTGATCACCACAGCTGGCGTGCTGTATTCCAGTGGCGTATCAAACTTGCGTTATACATGATATACCCATATCTTTAATTATTTCGCTGTTATATAATTTTAATCCGTGCGATTAGTTAACCAGGCTAGACCTGAGTTCTCACAAGAAACACCGACCATAATAATAATGATGTTCAACAGATGTTTTTCTACTTCACGTTCGAAATGAACCTATTTCGACACGCAAACGCGTATCGAAATGAAACAACTTAAATGGAAATGAAGTAGGGCTGTTTTGCGCTTCGAAGTTCGTACTTACTGATTAATGACATTAGGTAAACACTTTCGCGCGCTAAATGCACACACCTACAAAATGACAAAAATGTCAAAATAAGGTAAACGGTACATGTGAAAGAAACATAATTTTAATTTTTACTATCAAATCTACAATTATTATACACATTTATGGCAACTGTTCAATGCGTTTGGGCCATAACGTTAACACCTGGAATATTTGTTGCGACGAAATTGTTACCTCCTGTAACTGTTTCTCTTCGAATCTCCTTGACCTGATTTGCACTAAATTGTGTGTTAACCTTATCAAGGATACGTGAACATCCTGGTATTTCTAGAAAGTTACGTAAACATTTTCAGAAATTGTTTGTACTTTTTGTTCTGTGCACCAGTCTTGCAACACTTTATACCTCTATTCGTAAACTTTGCGGGATTTATCTGGTAATAAATTTACTTCTGCATTTTTTTGCTAATTCTCGCACCTCTGGCGGAGTAAGGTTGATTTCAAATCCTTCGTCGCTCATTTTGCGAGGAAAATTATTCAATTCGCCCTGCAACACTTTTTACTTCAAATTCAATTTTGAAGTTTACAATTTGTTTGTAACAAGTAATGCCAACTTCAAAAAATGAAAATTCCCAAATAAGACATTTTACTATTTAAAATAAGCATAAAAGGAGGTAAAATGAGTGAAGTAGAAAAAATAGCATAAAACACTCGTTACAGAAGGCACTTCTGGCACTCGTCCGTTCGAACACTCGTGCAAGAATAAGCGCCTTCTGTAACTTGTATTTTAATATACTATTAATACATCCAATTACAGAACAATTACAGAAATTAAATATGGCATGATTGAAAAATAAACATAAAATAATATAAATTGATCTTGATTCTAGCGTTATATATAGCGTAGATTTTTAATGTATGGCATGCGGCCTTTAAATGTTTATGTGTATAGAGCCCCTTTCCTTTTAATAATATACCAACAAAGTAAACATCGATAAAATAGCATACCTACTACTGCCTTATAACCCGCCCATTTAGAAACTCGAAACTGGAATGGCATCGCCCGTAAACAAATGTTGCAAGGGCATCGTGACGAAAGAGATGGGTAAAGGTAGTATTAGGTACCTACATCGTGCTTCCTAGGAGAGGCTCCAGTTTTTATAACGCTTTGAAGGCTCTTGGAGATTTTTTGAGACTGTAATTGACTATTAAAGCTCTTACAGACAGTTAAAGGATCCATGACAGCTAACTTAATGGCTCTTCAAGGTTTGATTTACAAACACTCTTAAACTACGTGTCAACCACGGAGACTTGGGAATACCTTTGGAGAAACATAGAGATGCTCAAATTAAACGACTAAATCAATATCAAGTTGAGGATCTCAAAGACTATAGTATTTTTTTGTAAGATCCTTTAAGGCACTTGAGTCCACTCCTTCAGGAATGTTAAAATGACTTTAAACATAAATCCTTTATGAAAACTTCCCAAAAAAATCGACTCCTATGGTTACATAATGCAATCCAAAATAACTTATATTTATCGATGAGTGAAAATTTTTTTCAACCGACAGTTTGGTTTTCTCCTTTGGAAGGATATCAGCAATTTGTAAAATTGGATGTTGGAACACCTTGTACAATACAATCGGACATTTTGCCGGGTAAAATTTGGTTACTCGTTAAAAATGAATCTTGATGTATGACAATTTGGATCCGGAACAAACGGTGCTTCAGGTTTCTCGAACTTTAATAGTTGACATTCGGAATAATTTACCAATATTCCGCAGTATGGAAATATCCGAAATTACCCTTATAACTTAGGGTTTTGCAGCCAACAAAAGCAGAAATTAATTGTCTTTGAACTTTTTATCGGTTGCCGTTTAATTAGAGATTTAATAAACCCTCGTATACACAACAGATGTGGATAGTTTTGATTAACAAACTTGTTTTTAGCGCATTTTTGCAAATTTATTTGTGAAAAGTAGCTTTTAATCTTTGGCTGGCTGGCTGGTTGGCTGGCAGCAAATGTGGGCGCGTAGAAGAACTCTTGTAGAAAGGCAACGGGTGTACGTGTATCTACAGGGCCGTGAAATTTGTCAACCTTAGGGACATGGCTACATTATGTGGGGTTGGCGACATCTGGGCGTCATCCTCGAGCGTAGTATACTAACGTGAAGGTTTTTCAGTTTTTTCCTATCTTCTACTACAGTTTTGGTCCGATTCTTTTCAAATTTGTGTCGTCGGAAAGATGTTGTAAACGCGCACAACTCCTGCGTGGCGGAATTTTGTTTTTTGTCCTAGGGGCGAAATTAACGACCTTTTGCGAGGCGCGCGCGCGCCTTCGAGAACTAGTCAACTTCGGGCGCCTTTTACCTTCCGTTGCGAACTCACGCGGTTTAACGTTTCGTAAATCTCGAATCGCTGTCTCTCTTTCTCGTGTCGCCAATAGAAGTGAATTGCGGGTGAACGGGACGTCGGAAGTGGGTACCGTCAAAGGGAATGTGGTAGCCCGCGACACGATCTTACTGATGGTGTAGTTAAATCTTCAAACGCGAATTGCGGGTGAATGGGACGTCGGAAGTGGGTACCGCCAAAGGGAATGTGGTAGCCCCCGACACGATCTTCCTGATGGTGGAGTCAAATCTTCAAACGCGAATTGCGGGTGAACGGGACGTCGGAAGTGGGTACCGTCAAAGAGAATGTGGTAGCCCGCGACACGATCTTACTGATGGTGGAGTCAAATCTTCAAACGCGAATTGCGGGTGAATGGGACGTCGGAAGTGGGTACCGTCAAAGGGAATGTGGTAGCCCCCGACACGATCTTCCTGATGGTGGAGTCAAATCTTCAAACGCGAATTGTGGGTGAACGGGACGTCGGAAGTGGGTACCGTAAAAGAGAATGTGGTAGCCCGCGACACGATCTCACTGATGGTGGAGTCAAATCTTCAAACGCGAATTGCGGGTGAACGGAACGTCGGAAGTGGGTTCCGTCAAAGGGAATGTGGTAGCCCCCGACACGATCTTACTGATGGTAAAAACGTTAAAAGGGAATTGCGGGTGCACGCGGAAAGTGGGAAGCGGTTAGTGAATGTAGTAGCCTTCGACAAGATCTGTTATTGATGGTTGAGTCTAAAGTGGCTAATAGAATCTGCCACACAAAAATGCGCTGAAGTCCCTTCGATCTCAAACGAGGACTTTGATAATTTTTTAATTGCCTTTCTGCTCCAAATCATCCGCAATGGACGTTTTGCACCTTTAACTTCAACGCCTTTGTTTAAATGATAGCACGTTAATCCGATAATATTATGACGAATTTGTTCGATTACGGTTTAACAAATTACACTTCGCACCAATTACGGTTGAAAATTATATCAGTCGTCTCCGCTACGCAATTAAGTTCCCCTTTTTGCATAAAACTGCCACTTATTATTAACTTAGTTGTAATGGCAACTTGTCAGAATTTTAAAAAGCACCCCGACAATCATTTCGTCGAAGCTGGTGCCACAACTTTCCGACATAGATTGGCTCCGAATGCTTGGCCAAGAATTCAATAAGGGATCGAAAAATATAGCGCTCGATCTGAATAGATTCGCCCCGAAAGTCTGGCTAAGAATGCCTTTCGCCCACCCAATTTTTACTTATGTACTCGCCGAGTTCGAATGATGAAACGATCCCAACGAAACCCATGCGTTCACTCTTTTTTTATACATACGTGAAGGTACAGCAGACCGTCTCTCATCGTCCGTGACGACAGTTTTTAGAACCGGCAACACTGTAGCATTATCTGCTTGAGCACTCGTTTCTTATCTTAACGCACTTTACTTTCTCGCATGTTAGTTCGGTTCCCTTTCCTTATGAAGCGATACAATGGCGGCCATAATGCAATTGAATCACATAACCAGTGTTTGTATTGACTCGTCGAACCGGCTAAAAATTGCATTAATTTTTTATCATAGCGTACATAATAACAAGTGACTCGCGCCCTACTATGCACATTGAGTCTTCTACAATTAAAATGTGACAGTTAACGGGCGATCAAAAATGATTTGCTGTCGAGTCGCCTTTGGAAGTTTAAGTTAAGTACGATTTCCCATGTAAACAAAAATTCCAAAGGTGACTCGACAGCAACTCATTTTTGATCGCATGGTACTTGCGCTGTATGTGTATGAATTGTTATTAAAGTTCACACACCTTAGATTAGTGCAGCACAATCAAAAATTAATAATTATAGAAAGATAAGCAACTGAAAGATTCTGTTAACATTAGATTCAAGGCGGTAAAGGAGTTCTAAAACCGCAAAATAATGACAGTAAAGGATACAATTAAACACAAACATAGGAAAAAAACTAAACACAAGTGTAACTCAAATAGCACCTAATACTCTTTAGGAACTCAATCCCAAATTTGTAATAAACATACAAACTTTCTTGCTTTCACTGAAAAACTTGTACATCTTTAAATCTGCTTGATCCCGGTTTCTAAAGCTGTGACAGCGATGTAATCGCGTCAGTTCACCGCGACGTTTGAGATAAATTGGTCCACTGGACCACTAACAGCACATTCAGCAACTTTTAAAACCTACCGCCACCCCCATAACGTTTTAACTTAAAATCGTCGCTTACCTTTAATTTCTTGAGTGGTTTCAATAGGCTGTCGAAAGCTGTCTTCATCACTCGAATCCTGCGACAATCTTAACGTTACGTTTAACGGACGTACACTTGTCGGTCCATGTAGCGTGACGAAAACCGCAGTTGTTTTCCCAGGCACCGCCAACTCAGGCGCGACAACTGAGAATCCCCTGAAAAGAAATTAGGAAGTGTTAAGAAAATACAAACGCAAATCGCAGTTTGTGATTTTTTGCCAATTCTAGACATCGGACTGGTCTATGCTCGTAAATTTTTCGAAGAAGAACGTAACAAGAATGTAGAAAACAAAACCAAAGTGGCTCTGGAGATATTTGTGTAAACAAAGACGGATGAGTTCGGATTGTTAACTTGACACGACGCTGCTTTTAAGCTTCTTATCCCGTTTCGGGGGTTTGATATGTCACCTTTACGAACGCAAAGGAATTTTTTTGTTCAATTTCGCAAAGGTAGAAAGAGATTGGATACCGTTTTAGAAAATTAAATTACATGGAGCCCTATACCGAAAAAATCAAATTACTAGATTTTATCAAAGGAGGACATCATTTAAATAATAACTTTTTAACTACAATTTAAAATGGAAGTATGTAACTAAATTACTGGTAGTTCTCGTTCTGTATGAAAACATGCAAATTGAAACGAAAGGGAATTAATAAATGAGAACTTAGTTATTTTCCTTTGTAAGGCCAATGCTTTTTGATGATGTACTCACTTATTCAGCGAAATATATTCGCTTAACAAGCAACGTTATCCCTTTGAATACTGCAGTATGGGCTTAATATACAAAATAATTGAATTATGTAGGTACCCATCGCGTTTATACTCTTGTACCGTTTGCCACATCATTCATCCTCCAGGGCTTATAAAACATTGTATTTTGTGCAATTTTGTGTTAATATGTTACATACAAACTGTAGTATTGATGTTTGCTTTGTAAAAAATTCATTACAATGTGGTCACGTGACTTCTCGTTCAATCCTTCACGTGACCTTCACACCAGATGTTTATGCCTTTCTTCTGTTCTTCACGCCTCGTTCGTCTACGTCACGCTACCTTTTTTCTTCCTTGGAACTTTCCCCGCGCCTAGTTGATTTCGAATAATACCTTCTAAATCCTCTGCTTTCGTACCTCTCCCTTTTGTCATCTCTTTTGTCCAAACCTTTTTCACATTATCGTCACTCCCATACACCTTCTTCTCCTCTTTGCCTCGCCTATTTATCCATCATCTACTACTCCTTTGTAGCTCTTTCATGCGTCCATTTAAGATTAGGCCGTTCGAAACTGACGGAATGTATCTGACTCTCAATTCAATGTACCTACCTCGCTGTGCCAAAATTTGTTTCCATTGCGTGACTTTGCTATTTCTGGTTCCAAAAAATTACCGCCAACTTCAGGACAGCACCAGATAAATTTCCAATACACTCTCATCGATTTCACAGAATTCAATTTACTTCAATGCACCAAAACCGGTATGAATTGTACCCGTGGCCTTTTCTCTAAATCCTGTTCCCATTGATCACGTACACTTCACCAGAAATTTTGAATGCAACTCCTCCAGAATTCAATCTACCCCAATGTACCAAAATTCGTTGTAAAAAAATCTGGTGCTGAAACAACAAAGTTTCGAGTAGATCTCCGAATGGACGTCCTTCAAAGTTCAATGTATCTCAATGTACCAAAACTCGTTTTCATTCTTCTGGTATCTTTGCCGTTTTTTAGAAAATCCGGGTGAAAACATTACTGTATGAAAACATCCAAACAGTTAATGTACCTACTACCTTTAAATACGTGAGACAGGGTAAAAAGGAGGCTACTATTGTTAGTTTGCTACGGTGAAAGAAACGTGTAAATTTTTACGCTTACGGGCGTTTGATACGTTTAATTTTCTTGAAGACGCACTTCATCAGTTTCGAAATAAAGTGTGCTAAAGAAGTTATTCAGTCTTAATAAAAGATTTCATTATTGTATATCGTATAGTGACATTGTAAAAGTTTGTGGAAAGTTTTTTTAACGGTTTGAACGAGTAAGAACGAGTGGGAGTCAACATAGCAGTTGTCTCCTTAGTGAAAGTTTTTAACATCAGAGCAGACGCTGAGAATTGTTTTCATCTTGTTTATCAAGCTGTTCGAGTTATTGGGTCCAGTTTCTTTAAAGACAAAGTGAAGTTTCCTGAAGCTGTCAGCGAGTGTTTTTGTGTGTCTTTGATAAGTGTGTCTGAATATCGCCAACCATTCACGACCAGCTTATATATTAAAAGAAAAAGATCCGTGAGGGGTATTATGTCCAAACAAGCTTTATAAGCTTCTCTTTCTTTTAGAAATACATTTTTGTCATTGTTAATCAATTAATTATGTGCTTATTCGAACCTATTGTGCGACCCGGATAGAGTGTTCTTGCGCAGTAAATTCTTTGGATTTTTCGGAAGTTAACCGAGGTCCCTGAGTCTACTAGTCTTTTTAGAAGATGCCGGAAGTGTACCAAGAGAGATTATAAAAATTCCAAGTTTCAATTTTGATTTGTTTGAGCTAGTTGGAGAGGTGTTTTGTGGGCGGTGTAGTTGACCGCACGCCATTGCAGGTAGCATTATTTATTTAGCGCCCAACGTGGGGTGACAGAAATATTGGTATATTTTACAATGAAGATCTTGATACGTTCTTGCAACGTATATCTGGCAAATAAATTTAACGAAAGATATAAAAAAAATAGCTGACAGATTTCAGTTACCTTTTGATATGCGTGATGAAAAACCTACCTGTCGCATTTGGACGGTTACAAGCGAAAGAGAATTGAACTGTTTTGTAGGTAATTGGTTTTCTCTAAGGTTTGCGTGAATCGTATCATTCTGTATAAGGCGAGCGGTAATAAATAAAAATACAGCAACTTTCGACATGGCAGCGTGATAAAAAATAAATTGTTTGCAGAATCGCGAATACCTTAGAATTCAATTCAATATAGTCCGTGGATGGCCAATAATACCAAGTACTTTCATAGGCATTCTTTGACAAAGAGCTTCGTTTAAAATTGTATTTTTATGATCCACACGTGCGAGAGACTCACTTTTAAAACTCATTGTAAAGGCATTATGGGTTTCCGCTTTTCTTGTTGTATGGTGCTCTAAAAGATACCTATAATGTGATTTTTATGGTCTTTAAATGATGCCTGCATTTTCCAAAATCAACAATTTGATCCATATTTACGTAACGTTATTACATCTTCGCATTTCTCTTCAGGGAGCGGGTAGATCGAGTTTAATTTAAATTTGATCTTTGGCGAACCAGAACGGTTGGGTTGGGGTAAGTAAACGAACCTTCATTATTAGAACAAATTTACTAAATCGTTTTAAATTTTCAATTGTGAGTTCAATTTATTGCAATAAATATGATAATTGATATCGTTGGAAAAAAGGAAAACTACGTTCTGTCGCAGTAATTGTTTTACGATATTTCATTCAGCGGCGGAAATTGGGCATGACATCAGGACTGCGCTTTTATTACAAGAATGAAATTGTAACGGGAAACATTTATGTAAACGTGAATTGTCTATCGATTTTGTTACATTTAATAGTTTTGTAATTCAAATGTTCATGTCAAAACTAATTTTCCTTTTCAAAAATGCCTACAGAAATGGAACTTTATCTATCCAGTATTCTACTAAAAGTGATCCGAATTAGACTAAAAATGCTTCCGCTCAAAGTTTAAAAGTGAGTTCCATGATAATGTAAGCTTAATTTAATTTTCATACTCCAATACCGGTTCGTGAGTTAATTTTTCATAACCGAATTATTTTTGTGAAGTATGAGAAGACGCTTCAAGGGCTCTCATTTCTGATGCTCTCAGATCAGTCGGTCATAAAATTGCCCCAGCAACAAGCTCGCTTATAATAATCAGCAAAATTTGCTTACAAGGTTTAATCTCTCGTACAAGTGCTAAGGGAAAGCGGAAACCACTTTCTACATTGATTTTACTGCTTTTAGTTTTTCTTGTGCGTGCCACTTGAAAGGGCGTAATTTATAAATCGCAAAACTCCTTTTTTGTGGGTGAAGGATTTACTCTCGCACTCCAAGCCACTACTATTATGAATTCTATCGTATAACAATTTCCTGTACAGAAATGACTAACAATCCAAATCCGCTTGTGTGGTCAGGAATAATTAAAAAATAAACACAAACACAATGCGAAATTAATTACGCCTTAATAGTCACAATTCTAAAATCGTTTTACTGTGAATATACCAGAGTAAATTCTGTTCGACTGTCTGTCCGTCCGAGACCTCACCACATGGGTAGGTGGTCGAGAAGAAATAATAAAGATGTCTGTGTCTGCGCATGCTCATTTCAACTTCATTAACCCGCTTCTCGTGCGGTTTCTGTCCGTTTACCCGAGGATATCTCAAAAAAGGATCGACCGATTATGATGACATTTTGCAGGTAGATTCTTGATCAAATTTGTAGATCGGAGTTCGTGAATTGGCAATGTAGCCCAAAAAATGCGGAAGGCCCTTGCGACATCTCCGCTGGTTATGAACCGAATTGAATGATATTCAATATGTGTATAGCTTTAGTCATGTAATACGCAATGCCAAAAGTTGAGTCTAATCGATTCAACATGTCTGTTCTGTGACTTTTTGCCATCTCTGCTATTTCTGAACCGTATATTGTAAACTTTTTTATTTATGAAAGCATTTAAATAAAATTTGATACATACCTATGCACTTGGAATAAAAAAATATCTAACACTAATTTCAAAATTTGGCTTTGCGCATGCGTTATGTCAACTTTCTTATTAATTCTTATCTTAAGATATGCCAAAGATGTTTTACTACAGATACTGTTTCAAAAATGAACTTGATCACTGGCCGGAGTAATTACGATCGGAGGATTGAATTCAGGGAATTAATGTCACAAAGAAAAACATATCATATTTGTTATCTACTTCAGTTATTAAAGGTCTGTATGGCGCAGTGGCGTGGAAGCTCGACTGCAGCACTTTAGTATCTCTGGTTCGGGAATGAATATTTGTAAATGTATAGTGGGTCAGGTTGGTAGAGTAGCCTTTGGCTGAAATTCCGCCCACTTAAAAAGACCAAAAATAAAATAAAGGCATATTATTATTATTAGCTTCCTACCGTGAGGTAGGTGGCGATGACCGTTTTTTGG